ATGTACATATGCCTGTGTGTGTTTGTGTGGGGTACGTATGTGTTATATGTTTTCTTTGGATTTTTATGTTATCACAGTGATAGGGATCAATTATATGTTAATGTAATTTTGTTGAATAACATTTTTCGGTCAAGCTAATCTTTTTTGCTCTCAATCTTTCCATCATTTTTTTTTTCTTTTGGCTGCTTTCCTGACTTTTTTCCTCGCTTCTCTAGTTTGTAATGAAGTTTTCTTTTTTCTCCTCGTTTGAAGAGCCTTCAAAGTTTTTCGGATTTTTTTTTTCTTTTTGCTTTGATCTTTGTGCACATTCTCTTTGTCGATTGTTGCCTCATTTTCTTTTTGAGCTATATGATGAGATGAAAAAACTGAAAATTGCGCTTACTGTCTTCGTCCTCTTCTGCAATTTGTGTATGCGCACACAGTTCACATTATTTTCTAGAGGCTGAGGAAAGAAGGAACATCTTCACTATGTTTCTTTTATTTGTGAAAAGAAAAAACAAAGATGGGCGGAGATTAAGGAGGCTTTTTTGGTAAGCAAAAAGGTTACTGAAAAAGCAAACTTACCCGCCATAATGTTTTCAACATATAAATTTTCGATGTGAAGGAAAGTAGTTTTGGAGTTTTGTTGGATGAGGAGGATCAGATGGTACTTTTGCCAGTGCTGCTGTTGTCGCTGATACTGCGAGTGCTTCTGTTAGTTCTTAAGTAACCGAGATATGGGCTTTTCCTCTCTTATTTTGTGCTCTTCTTAACTGCAATGAAATTCTCTTGGGATTTGTAAAAAGAAAAATTCCCAGGTTGCTGCTTTTTGGTACCGTGAGACTAAAGTGTAGGCTTTTGCAAAAGAAAATTATGAGGAAGAAAAAAGTTGGAGGAAAATTGAACAGGCTGAGGGGGACATGGATGCCACATCTTAGAAATGTTTACTAATGACTGAAAAACTGTTTGATGATTGTTAACCGACCTTTGGTTGTTAATATCTCGTTCTTCATCTATTTTCTGTCTGCATTTTCTTCTATGTGGCGGCCTTAATACCGAGGTTCACTGAGGTGCCACTGTTCTCGTTAAAATCGGTTCCTCGTCAGTCGGACGGACATATGCTAGAGTGACTGCAATTTGTTTCTTTTTTGCGCACTCACATTTACGTTCTTTACTTTTTATTTGTCTACGGGTTTTAATTATCATTTAGAAATTTCTACTTTATTTAATTTTATTATCATCTTCTGCTGGGATCTTGTTCCCTTTTTCTCTAAATATTCTTTCTTGTATTATTATTTCGGATTTCCATATAGATTAGAAATCGTGTTTTTTCCCGTTTTCTCGTTTGCTTTTCTCCCTACTGTAGTTAGCTGAACGAAGAGAGAGCGAAAGGAGGAAATGAAGGAGAAACTTAAAACAGGGTTTTTTTAAGACTCGTATGTTTGTATGTGATGTTGTTGGTGTTGGTGCGTTTGTGTATCTTTACGTACATTTTAATTTATTTTTTCTTTTCATTTCAGTTTTTTTGCTTTAGTCTTTTTGTTAAAAAATAAAATTAGTTCTCATCATTCTTCTTCTCCTCGCATTCAAAAACTTGATTGTTGCTGATACTCATTTTTATTCTGTTTCGCTTTTTTTTTCTCAAAATTTTTACCAATTGATCATGGATTGTTTCGATTTTGTTGTGTGATGCAAAGAATTGTTTTAACAGAAATTTCATTAACTGTTTTTTGTTTTGGGCAGTCAGTTGGAACCTTTTTCCTGAAGAATACAAATGGATCATTTGAAGTTGGTCTCAATTTGCTAAGAGGAGCCCGGCTTGCCTCAGTTTAGTCGGGGAGAGCTGAGATGAATTCGGCTTGGGCTCGCACAGGCTTTGCTCGGCCCAATTCAGTTTAGCAGCCTTTTTTTGTGGCTGTTCGTCTCTTGTTTTTAGTGCCTGTGACGGTGGTGGTGACGATGATATTGAAGAGAATGGTAACGGCAAAAACAAATCGAAGAAGCGTCGACGACGACGACGAAGACGATGATATTAGTGATGACGGTGATGGAGATGGCGCCGACGGTGATACTTCGGCTTTATCTGCTCCTAATCATCTGTGGACGAAAGTGGATATGAAAAACTGCACAAACACTTATGCAGGCATAGAACGCACTGCTCACACTGTTCGCCATTCTCATCTACGCCGTTCAAACAGTTATCGATGACTGCTGTTGGAGTTGCTAGTAATGTGCAAGGATAGTTCAGTGTTTTTATCGACATTTTTCAATATCTGGAGCAGTAGTCTTTAAGAGGACAATGGCAAACTGTATATGCTGATAGATGTAAAGAACAGGAATATTTTAACTGAAAGAAGACTACTTATTATGACGAATGGTGAAAGAAGTTGGTCATATTTTGTATAAAGTGCCGCTGAAGTAGTCTTTTAGGTGGTATATCAAAAGGGACGGTATAGGGATGTAGAGGGAAGGATGTTTTTTTTATTTTGTTTGAGTGAATTATCATGAAGTTATTTTACGAAAGAATAGTAGTCGACCAAAACAGAATTATGTTAAGCGGAAGAAAAAAATTAAAAATAATTTAGCAGTTCTCTTCAAATTTTACTTCTAATGATTAGAGCGAGGAAAAGATGAAGCTGGGAGAAAAATGGATTTGGTTTTGAAAGTTTTTTAAAATGATTTCGCCTCTAGTTTTTGCCAACCGTCTTTCCCTTTCTGCTCTTCAGCTGACTCGTTTTATTCTCTTAGTTATTACGTAAGTAATAATTTGTCTGCATTTTTTTTGAATTCGCTAGATAGTTTAAGGTTTATATTATAAAATTAGTTTACTGAAAATTTGTTTTCTGTTTATTTGTGGGACAGAACAACAAAAAAGGTTATAATTGGTGTTGTTTTCTTTATTTTTGTTTTATTTTATGTCATGTTTATTTTATTTTATTGTCGTTATTATTTTTTTGTTTTAATTTTTTTTTTTTTTTTTTTTTTTTTT